ATGGCACCAAGTAAGCCCTCAAACCCCCGAAACCTAACCCCGTATCTCGGTTCCCAATTCAATTTCTAGTTTACCGATGGATAAGTCAAGCCACTTGTCACCTAAAGAGGAGTAAAACTCACAAGTATTTGTTTTAATGTCACATCTATTTGACAGTCTCCTATAGAGACTTGCCCTCATTCAAAGTTGTAGTGTTTGACGAGATCTAAACTTTATATTGTATAGTTTGACAAAAAAAATCTTATTTAATATCGTTTAGAGTGTCAAATAGACAATATAAAGCTTATAGAGTTGAATACAAAAGAATAGCATCCCTCTTGTAGGCAACAAATGATGTGTAGGTTATATAGCAAGACGAAGGGTAAGTTTTAAGGACCACCTCTAGAGATGATTTCTAAGCCAGTTTCTTGGCTGCCTCTAGAAACCACTAATTTCTAGAGACATTTGGTTTGAGGCGGTTAATTGGTCCATGCATCTCCAAAAATCCATATTTACTCGTCTCTAGAAAACCTTGTTAGTAGTCATCGTACGCCATTTTTTTGCAAATAGCTTCTATATATACGTGTGTGAAAATCACTTGCAGTTGTATTTTGTTTTAATAGCATGCGTACTCTTCTTATCGTAAATAACACTATTTGACGACCGGGAGGTGCATGCATGTGATTTGCATTGGTAGACGAGGAAAGATGTGGCAGAACCACCCAAATTATGCTGGTCCACATGTACCCGTCATTGTCCTAAAGACCTCTGATTGTTGTACACGAAAGCCAGATAATCCGGTAGTCTATGGGGTGTCCTCGGGAAACCCCGAATCATCCACATTTTACAACTCATACAGGATCAATGGAGTTACCACAACATTACAACATTTGGTACAAAAATATCATACATCGGAGTAGAGTGCGAAAGATTTACAACATTAGGTTACAAACATGTTCAAGTACTTTTTTAAGTAAAAACTTAATTCTAAGAGATGAGTAGAACTACAGAAGCAACTTAGGTAAAGTACCTAAGGTAGAAGAGACATCCAGATCATGTCGAGCCCACCGACACGAACTCGATTAGCAACACAAGTCAAAACCTGCAACAGGGGTTAACAAACCCTGAGTACTTGAGGGTACTCAACAAGTCTTATCCGACTAAAAGAAAGACTCCAAGGGCATGCAGGTTTAAGGTAGTTTAGCAAGAATCAAAATATTTTGCGGAGATGCTTATTACACATGGATCCTTACTTTCAACTTTTAGGTTCAAACTTAAGTCATTATTAGGATCCAAATTTGCACCTGATCTAAATCATTCACTTCATTAAGCATCGCACCCATTTTCATAAGTACCATCCTTCCATTGATTAGCTACGATGTATGGTAAGAGAGTCGAGTCTCCATAACCAAGGAGCAACGATGATTCGAACCTATTAAAACCCAGCTGGGAATTTCCAACCACACGACATATGCAGGTCCCGGACCTACATATATCAACCTTCACTCGGATCCTCTAAAATGTGAACCGGTCCGCACTACCCGAGAGCATAATACTCCACCGCCCTGCTCTGCCCCGGACGATATTCTTGCAGGGTGAGTACACGCTACTCCTGCCATCTCCCATGCCCAGTGTGCGGTTGTCTTTTCACATAATGGAATAGCCGAGGTATCTGGTTTGTCGGAGTATGTGGTCGGTAATGCAAAGTCTCGACCACATGGTGGCCTACAACGAACGGTCCTTAATTGACATAGACGGGACAAGCACGACCAGGCACCCCTGTCGGCTTAACCACCAAAGGCATAACCCATGTCCCTTCCGGTCTCCAATTTAATCCATATTCATATTGAATCCTCAGGACGTCTCCTGAGTAAAGAACCATTGTGAATAATGAACTCATCACCGGACTCTTATCAACTAAGCATGGCTAAGCATTACTAGCCTATTACTACAAAAGGGTGACAAGGAAAGTGTTGAAATATCAAGGTAATCATGCAGCAACGGGTTTCAATTCAACCCCTATAACTTAATGCACATATTATAGGATTCAAATGATAAAAGCATTTGTAAACGACAAGGAAGGGTTGTATACTCCGGGGCTTGCTTGTGTTAGCAGAGGAGTTAGGTTCTTCTGATGAACCACAAATGTCGAACCCAACTTCCACCGATGGTTGTTCTTCCACTAGGATTTGATCAACGACCACTTCCTCTCCTTATGTCACTACACATAGATAATGATGCATGCTCACTATAAAGCAGTGCTTGAGATGATGCATGACAATGCATTAGTGACATCATAACAAGCTTAACTTTCCTTCACGGTACTATTCTAGTTGATTAGCAAAAAGTAGTTTTAGTTATTATTATCATTATCACTAAGTTGATTATGATCATAACAAGAAAGTGATTAAGTTGCTAAGGAACATCAAAGGGATTAGTGTTCCAAGGTCCACAATCAATCCCAAAATCACATCAAAGTTAATTAAGGGTTTATATAAATCATTTTGATATTTATTAATTAAGAAAGGCATTTTATCACATTTAAATTTAGTGATAATTTATTTTCATCAAAATAGTACCAAACTTTTTGTGAATGTAGATCTAAGCATAATTAACATACCCAAAAAGTTTCGTGATTATTAAAAGATTATTATTTTAGCCTATTAAAATCATACAAGGTGCATTTCTTAATTAAAAGATGTAATTTTAAGCATAGCAAAAATATAGATTTTACACAATTAATTTCACATTTTTATCACCTCTAATTAATTAATTATGAATTAAATAAGAAACTGCACATTTTAATTATTTCAGGAAATTAACAAAACAAGAAAAAGGAAAAAAGGGGCCTCGGGCCCAAAGCGGCCCAGTGGCGCGAGGGCACGGCCAGGTAGTTTTGCTAAAAGGACCCTGCGGTTTTGATAAAATATCCTGCAGTACACATACTATTCATTTGAGTCACAGATTTGCATTGGGAACCCTAGAGAAACTTCTATTCTTCTTTCTCCTCTTCCCCTGATGAACACGGAGCAGAGCAGACGGGGACTTCACCGGCCGGCGACCGATTCGGCCCGGCGGTTGACCGGCGACGGAGGCGACAGTACGCGGGGCAGGGGAGGCCCCAGACGCATGCATAGGCGGCGGCTCGGCCAGGCATGAGCCGGCTAGAGGCCCGGCCACTCGCGGTCGCGGCAAGGCGGCCGGTAGCGGCGCGGCTATGGTGGCACGGCGGCGGAGCGGCCACTATAGCACGGTAGCGATTCAACCAAGATCTCAGGCAGCACCAGGGGATCACCACGACGTCGATACGTTAACTGGTTGAAGCGGAACTCGAGCGGAGGGGGCTGCCTACGTTGAGGTCGATGGCGACGGCGCTGACGAGCTGCCGCGGCGAAACCCCGGATCGTGAGCAGATCCGGCGACGAGAGACAGCGTGAGCGCGCTCAGAAGATGCACAAGGACGAGGCTACGCTGCGAGAACGAGGAATTGGATGAAGGGCAAGAGAGCGTGACGAATTTTGCCGTTGAAGGGAAACAGCCGGCGATGGAGCAGAGGAAGAAAAGGGAGAGACGGCGCCGGCGCTGGGGCTTTTAAACGGCGAGAGTGAGGATGGAGATGTGACTAGCGCCTTCTCGGGCTCGGCCACGCGGCCAGCTACGCGCTCCTGCACGCGCGCGAAGCACCGAGAACGGCTTTGGTGGCCGCCGATGAACAGAGAGAGGGAGGGAAAAAGGAGACGGCACTGGTTACTGTAGCGCTGAGAGCCTCTCTTCCTCTCTCTATTTCTCACAATTTTATACGTAAACATGTTGATCTCCCTTAAGCAAAGTCGCTCAAGTAACTGTGATCTCCATCTTTATTTAAAGGACCAACAGCAAAAGATCAAAAGTTAGAGAGATTTTTAATTTCAAAAACACATAACCTAAACTGAAATTTCAGTTTCAGTGCTTTTGAAAAACAGTTTCAATTAAGCTTCTTTAGGTAATTAATTAATGTTTAAGCACAGATCAAACACTTCAACCAATAACACAGTTTCAAAGTACAAACTTCATGCTTTGAAATGGTACCAAGGTTGTACAAATTTTATATGTGAAAATTGTTTATATAAATTTCCAAACATTGAACTTGTTTACTGTTTCCAAAGAGTCAAAAATGTAAGTGCTATAAACATTGCTGAATTCAAATTTGGAACTCAAGTTTGAACATAATTAACTTAATTTCATAACCAAACTTTGATACTATGTGAAAGAGCACACTTTGGGGCCGTTTGGCCGGGCTCTTGCATGCTCGGCTCTCAAACTGTAGGAGCACTGTAGCATGCAGAGAGCCGGAGCCAGGAAGCAAAAAAATACTGGCTCCAGCAGCTCCTTCGTTGTCAGTGAGAGAGAAGAGGATGAGAGAGAAAAACAGCTTCTATACACAGTGCGATGAGCAGTAAACAGCTTCTATACGCAGTGCGATGAGCAGTGTTGCTACAGTAATGTCAGATGGAGCCGGAGCTGTTAGGAGCCCGGCCAAAGGGGCCCTTTGTACTTGAAAGTTTATATTAGCAAAATTTTAATTGTTTAAGGAATTCTCATTCCATAAAATCACAAAGAACCCTAATCAAAGTTATTGTTATCAACTCATGCAAAACATTTGTAACACATATTCAACATATAAGGGCTATAAATGACACCTGGAATGCATTTATGCCATGATGCTTGATGATTATGCATGATGATGATTATAATTAGGATTTTATGAAATGCAAAAGATTTCCGACCAAAGCCAACTGTTCCTCATTTCACGACGCGTCTTGATGGTAGCCAAAAAGCGTGGTTGGAAAACGTCTCCAACTTTGTTGTCTGTCGCCTCTTCAGGTTCTTGACCAGAAACCGCAGGTCGACGGACATCGCCTCAACATCGATCGGGAGGTAGGCTGTTGTCCTCTGCAGATCGCTGGAGTAGTTGCTGCGGAGGCCGGGAGGAACAGGGGGTTGCCCAATCCCAATCCCCTTTCTCGTCTGCGCACATGAGCATGGCGGGCAGGAATGGCGGCCGCGGTTCTTATTGGAGCTACCACCAGGAGACTGGATCCATCATTAGCAGCTCGTCAGGTACCATAGTCTCTACTGCCTACATATCCAACGTCTCTCGCCCCTCCACTTTCTCAATGGAGCCGACCACGCACTTTCTCTCCTTGGGGATCCACGGGGACATCAACGGCAACAGCTTCGGGGACTGGGAAAAAGCGGAGGAGGAAGAAGCAGATCAGGAGGAAGAAACGGAGAATGAGCGCATTAGACGCCTGGTCCAGGAATTCTACCATGCGCCGTCAGCGAATCGCAGCATCAAAATCGGCGACACGAGTGTAGTGGAGAGATGGCTCAAGGAGCTGGGCGTCGGCTGGGTTCTCAGCCTCGATGACGGTGCATCTGCAGTGGAGGCAGAGGAACTCCATCGCCATGCACGGAGCTGGATCCGGGCTCTCGACGAGATCGCGCAAACCATCTGCTCCACGAGGCCGCTCTTTCGGGATGGTGCCTCCGTGGGCCTGCCCAGTATTTGTGAGGGAGAAGGAGAGCATGTGGGTGGGCGATGCATTCCGGATCGATACCATTTGGCACTGTTTATCCAAGAAACCATGTTGAAGATCCTCGATTTTGTTGAGTTCATAGTTGCTCTGGACCCTAATGCTGCTACCGTAACTTGTGGGATAAGGGCACCATACCTCAAGATCAGTATTCTGCTGCTTGTACACGATGCCCTGTCCGAGGCCTCAACAACAAAGATCTCTTTGACATCCCATCCGCCGCCATCGGCACAAGTTCGAAGGATAGAGGACGAGATGGCCAGCTTCTTATCAGCGAAGCAGGACAAGGCAACAGAGGCCATACAGGGCACAATGGCGGATACTTGGGCTCGTATCATGGAGTCGGTAGAGGACTCCGCGTGTAGTCCGACTCTAAATGGATTGTCCGACATTCACGATGTCACTCGGTCTGTGACATTTCACATTAGGTACTTGTGGCTTAATTACCGCTCATTGTACCCAATTGTACTCGAAGCAGCTAGATCTAGCAGCCTTGGTAAGTATGTCACCAAGATAGGAGACACTATTGATCCTATTGACCGGCTGGTAATTCAGATGATCTCCTGTCTGGAAGAAAAGGTTGCCAAAAGGTCGCAGTCTTTCCCTGACAAGGGCCTCAGGTATCTATCCCTTATCAACAACTTATGCTACGTATCGGAACGAGTCCATAGTGCATATGTCAGCGCAGTCCTCACTCGCAAAATCGAGGACTGTATACAGACCTATCTACAAGAATCTTGGGCACCCGTGTTTTCATGCTTGACTCAACCTCGTTGCTTTGGGAAAAACTACTCTCCTCTACCCAAGTTCGAGTCTGCATTTCAGAGAAACTACAATACCCAAAAGCTCTGGAAGGTCCCGGATCCGAGACGGACACTGCGCAAAGCTATCACCGAGAAAATCATTTCGGCCTTAGACGACAACAATGTTTCCACACCAAAATTCACTCCCGATCGAGCACCTGAAAGAGATGTTGAAAGAGCTATTTGAAGGGTGAACGCCATGCAAGACAAGTTGTCAGTGCCGATACATTTAGTTATGTTTCCTTTGTTGTTTTTTGAGTGAAATGTTAACATTGTTGCTTCAAATCACATGGCCTCTGAATCTGTAAGTGAAGCAGAACAAAAGTAGAAGACTGTAAAGCTTCATTTGGCTATTTGTATTTTGTTTATCGTTTTTTAATAAATATATGGCATAGCAAAGAGCTGCATGTACATTCTTCCTTGCAAGTTTATACTAGCACCAGTGATATTTTTATTCACTTTTTTTCTCTTGGGTTGTCATTTCTCCAAATGAATTTGTGCGCGTGTCTGGCTAATTGGCTATTTGTATTCGGATCTGGTCTAGATACAAGTGTATACATGCCTACTGACTTCGATTTTTTTTCATCAAATTATTGGTGTACAAGTGTACACCCATGTCCTTTACTAGGTCTGCCCTTGCTTCACTTCTGCTTCAGAGTACTCTGCCTTTTTTTTTGCGAGACCCAGTTACAGACACAGACGCTCACATACATGAGCGCACACTCACCCCTATGAACGCACGCATGCACACTATACCCTTATGAGCACCTCCGAAGAACTGAGTTGGACCGGCAAATCTCGAGATTGACGAAGTCACCATAGACGCCTCGCTGTTGACGGGCACATCGCCTACCACCAAAAGAATAGCGCCGTTAAATTATGGAATAAATCCAGAAAATTACGAGCACCCATGTCAAAGTCAGAGATTTGAACCCGGATGGGCAGGTTCCACCACAAAGAACCCAATGAACTGAGCTACGCTCAGTTCGCAGAGTACTCAGGCTTCGAAGCTGTGCGTGCAAGGAAAACCTGATGCATTTTGTGTTTCATTGGATTATCTTGATACCTTTTGCTCTTTTTCAATAATATATAGACCTGGAACAGAGAGCTGTCAGGATCTTTTGCCTTGAGGCAGCATCAGTCCTTGTCAGCAGCGATGCTGCCCTCCAGGTGCCTCCGTGTGACCAGCTACAGGGGAGCAGCGACAACAGGCTCCTGGGCTGCATCAACGATGATTCAGTGAATGGACTATTGAAAGGAAAAGTGAAAGCGATTTGTGTAATGGAAAGAATGATTCATTGATTATTGAACTGTACAGTGATTACATATTTATATCCTCTGAAGGGGTGAGTACATGACTATTGGGACAGGAAGCTGACCCTTTCGGGCTGTCCTCGAAAGGTCCTGAACGGTTGGTGCTAATCTCAATTAGCACATGTCTAATTACATTGAACACATGTCTAATGATATCATTAACTGCTAATTAATCACTAATGACTATTTCTAACACTCCCCTTGATCAATTTGCTCCTTGAAACTTCATGTGAATATCCTTATGACAACGTTCATTAGTCCTTTAGAAATCCTTTGAATATCGAAGAAATTGAAAATTGATCCTTGATATTTCCTTGAATATCCTACGGGGAAAATAGAAAACATACATATACACTACACCACAACACTAATATAGCGTCACATGTGTGTCGTTATAAATATACTAATACCGTTGCACCGTCGGTCGGTATAGCTAGCCCACGGATCAAGTGTCGGTAAATGTACATGTTGCGATATCGATAAACCATCGGTCGGTATAGATATTTACCTATATAGTCAAACAGTTGGTCGGTTTAGATCAGTATAGAGGACACACCTTCGGTCGGTATAGGGCCGTGCCTTTGGCGCGCGGTGTGGAAATAAAAGAACAGGTTCGTGGGAGACTGAAAATGAAACAGGGCCCATTCGCGGTAAAATTAGGCCCAAATACCTTCCTATGCAAACCCTAGCTTTTCATTCTTCACTCTTCAGCCTGAGCTAGTCCAGTCACCGCCGCCGCCTCCTCTCTGTGCCTGCCCGCCTGGCTCCATCGTAGGCCCCGCCGCCTCCTCTCTGCGCCCGCCCCCCCCCCTAGCTCCATCTCAGGTCCCGCCGCCTCCTCTCTGCAGCCGTCTGCCCAGCCGGTCCGTCGCAGGTCCCGCGGCCTCCTCTTAGCACCCACCGTTGCCCGCCAGCCCAACTCCTGCTCTGTCGTCGCCCTCCAACTCGGCTCCGTCGTCGCCCAAATCCGCCCAACTCTAGCTTCATCGCAAGTCCCATCGCCTCCTCTACCCACGCCCGCCCAACTCCTCCTTTGCCATCCAACTCCGCCGCCGCTGCCGCCTAACTCCTCCGACGCCGCCTAACATCAATCGCTTGCTACTGCATGAGCTTGGTGCCCAGCCCCGCCGCAAAGACGCGCCCTCAATTGCGACTGTGAGTGACCCCCGCCTCATCCTCATCGATTCCATCAGGCAAGCAATCTGATCCTGTTCTTGGTCCCTAACGCTTCTTTGTCGCAGCTGTTGGGATCCGCGATGACAAGGACTGCAGCGTGGGCTGGAGTGGCTGCGAGGGAGAGGTGCCCTGCGACGAGTTTCTACACAAAGTAATAGAAAACAAGAATGCAGATTTATTTTTTGGCCTAATCTATCTGTTGCACTACTTTGTTTTGCAATTCAGGACTCAACATACTTGTACATGTAATGATCTGATGTCATGTGTATTCACAAGATACAAATTGACTTTGGTGTGTTGGAGTCAGAATGAAAAGAATCAAGCACAGATCTGTCTACCCCACCTTTAGAGCCGGTGGGCAACTTGCAACCTTTTGGAGATTATTTGAACATCCACAACATTGGCGGTTGCTCTTCTTGTGCGTACCGGTATGATCATCTTTCTGTATGCCATCTTTTTAATATTGTGTGTGGACAGGAACACGTCAATCGTGTTTAAATTAAAACCATTCCGTGGCTTCATGGATATGAGCATGTTTGACAGAATGTAGCTACTTTGATTCTTATGGTCTTTTTTTATTTTATAGTTCATTTCTAAAGCTGCTTGATCTTTCACAAAGGGAAATGGATAAATCATGGATCGATAATGATGCTAGGTACACATACTTATTTCACAAAGACTGAAAGTTCTATTTGTAGTTAACATGGGAATTAACTTAAAAATTGCATGTAGGCACACCAAGATATATCAACAAGGGGTGAACAATTTCATAGCTTTTGCATTTGAGAATTCAGTGGTAGGAAGCAAGATACTATGCCCTTGCAGAAAGTGTGTTAACTCATTTTGGAGGGAGGGAAGTGAAGTACGTGAGCATTTGATATGTGATGGGTTTCTAAACGGGTATAGAACATGGACCTTACATGGAGAAGTTAGCTCTTCTATGAATCATGGACACTTTGATGGTGTTGAACTTATGGAGGAGACTGACGAAGATGATAACATCTCTGATTTGCTTAGGGACTTAGCTGCTGGTTTAGATGATAAAGGGGATTTTGATGACAACAATTCAGACCTAGAACCCTGTGAGGAGCTAGTTGCCATTCAGAAGTTAGTAGCAGAGAATAGCAAAGAGTTATACCCTAATTGCAAGAAATATACACAACTGCGTTTCCTAATTAGATTACTCCACACCAAACTCCTCGGAGGGTGGAGTGATAAGAGTTTTAACCTGCTACTAGATCTACTAGTTGCCATCCTCATGATTGAATAATCTATCTTTCCTATGCCGGATAATATGGTGACATGTGAATAATACATATTTCCCCTCTTGTATTGTTTATGTAGAGCCCAAGGTCTGAAGAACATGTTGATGAGGCACATCATGCTCAACCATTTGAAGATGATGATGTTTTTGCAGATATTAATGAAAACTACGACCACTATGACGAAGATGATGTTTTTGCAGATATTACCCCATCTGAGCAGCATGCTAATTTCCTATCTCATGCAACATGTCACTGCCCCTATCTCTGCAGCGTGTTGCTGCTCTGCTCTCGCAACGTGCTCCTCGCCTCTATCTGAGCAAATAAGTCTTTGCTGCCTGCCTGCCTCTGCACAAATAAGTGCTCGTGCCCTATCTGTGCAGCCTGCTCCCTCTCCATCTGTGAAGCCAATCCTACCCCATCTACGCAGCGCGCTCCTACCTCCTCTATGCACAGTCCTATAGGAAAATCAATTGATCTTTGTCGGAGTGCAGCGCTACTAGTCCCATAAAAAATGTAGCCCCACGAAAGAAGAATAAACCTCCTCGTGTTTCACCTACTAACCTTGTAATTTTCTTAATATAACCTTGCTTTCAGTTCTTGCAGTTCTATACATTTGTTCAATTTTTGCTGACAAGTGCATAAACCATTTCAGGTTGGAAAGGAGGTCACATTATATGCCTTGTTTCGCCGTAAGTCGTGGCTAAGGCAACAGTCATTTCAACAAATCCAACCAATGTACTAGGAGGCCAGCCTCTTGGAAAGCACTATTGTGAAGTTGTTGTGAAGGTTGTGATTAAAAGGGATACAGTGCTACCTCGCCCTTGTGGTGACATTGAGACTTTGGCTGATGCTAAGTCAATGCCAATTCAGTGGCCATACAATAGAGTAATAAACTAAACTTTCCTTTGTTTCTTTTATTCATATATGTGATAAGTGAACAAAGTTTCTAATTAATGATATTTGTAATAGTTGAACGTCAGCAAGGCATCACATTCATCCAAGTCTACTGCAGGTATGTATTTTTCCTGAATTTTACTTATACCAAGCTGCAATTTGTGATGCTGAACACACCCTGCTAGCTGTTCCTAGGGAGTCTATCCACTAGTTGTTCTTCATCTTGCCTTTTCTTTCAGTTCAGTTAAGGAAAGCAAGGACTAGAGATTGCTCTATATACTGCATCAGCTCTTTTCAGTTCAGTTAAATAGACATCATTTTCTTTTGTATTTTCTGTAATAATCAAAAAGGAGTGAAAGCATATATAGCTGGAATCTGGCAGCATATTGCATCTTTAATATGGAATTGTTGGTGATGCTGGACCTCAGTTTTTCTCATGGCACGCACACACTGATAGTTCACATGTCGTAAACGACGATATGATTTTGCAGGCAGCGATGGTTTGGTATTGGCAGTAACCTGATCTTTATTTTTTCTG